CAGAATGAGCGAGAGACCGTGGTCTGCTATACATGCATTAATGGTGTGCATGACTCAATTTAGTTTCAGCTGGGCAAGCTCAACCCTATGTGCAGCTTAAGTCGCAACGTCTTCTGTGTACTCTATCAAAATCATTTTATACACATCACTTACGTTACTTACATATCACAGGTGTAACTTACGTTTTGCCCTTCAGTCCTATTACGTGGGTTTCTACAGCCTCGACATTTACAGCCGACGCAAGCTTTGTTCTCTGTGTAACACGCACATCTTTGTCCGCAACAAGTCAATTTTCCAGGTATTGCCGTCGCATTTCCACACCGACATCCTGTCTTCACTGCTGATGACGAACCAGTTTTCCCTCTTGTTGGTTTTTTGACTGGTGTTATTCCACTGTTTGTTGTGGGCTCAGTAACTTGGCTCTGAAATATTAAATAAAGTAAGTAATCACAGATAAGTTAGGTCTACAGTAAATGTAATTTCAATATTTTTAGTTTATGTGCAATACATAGGCCTATGGTAGACTTAACGCTTACAGGTGTAATGGTCAAATTTTATTAAGGGGGTTACTTTTAATTATTTTAAGGCCGTGAAGGTTTGAGCGCGCTCGACAACAATGTCAAACATGTCCACGGCAAGTCAAGTCTCCTAGTTCGTGACTTGGCCGCCGCGACCTCGGGGCACTGACGTAGACGTGGTGGGGAGAAGCCGAGACCAGCGGACAGTGGACATTTCTTGGGACAGTCGATGGCGAGCGCTTGTTCGCCAAACACCCTCCCTCAAGACCGGGCAGTCGACGGTGAGCACATGTTCGCTACACACCCTGTCCTGAGATATATAGCGGACCTGCGGCGAGAATAAGTTGTGGATGCGATACGCAACGAGCGTGAAAATAAAGGCGATAACATTAAGCGAAATAAGTATTGACAGGCGTAAGTACTGCATTGTATCCTTACATTATTCGGATTATTTGACCGACACCGGTAGGCCTAACCTTTCTTTTGGTAGGTAGGCCTACCGGTCCAGGCTACAACCCGCGTGTAATTCGGTCCAGTAGTATGGTCAGGCTAGCTGTCATAAATTGTGCAAATGTTTTTAAATATTTTAAGATTAACCTATCTGAAAACATAACTTACTTTAGGCTACTTACCATAGAATGTTTTGGTGTTGGTGATAAAACTTTTACAGGAGATGGAGAATTTCTTTCCTGATTGTCATTTACCAACTCGGACGCTTTTCTTTTTATAGTTAACTTATTACCACTTCCAGCATGAAGCACAGAATACACGACAGCTGACCCATTATGAATTGATTTAGTAGTTTCTTCTTCTCCATTGTAAGTCAAAGGTATCGGTGCACTTTCAGGACTTGCTGCTACAGAAGCAGAGATAGTTTGTGTAGAAGTTGAAGCAGAGTTTGTCTGTGTTGATGTGGAGTTGGTATGAACACAAGATAGAGAAAAATTGGATGACTTAGAGGTTCTGAATTCATCAGCAAATCCCGCACCCTCTTGAATGAGATTTATAAGTGTTGGGTTTGAACCATCCAACAGATTAGTACTAACATTGTTTCCAGTTAAATTATTTACAGTGGATATTTTTTTATACATGGCTGAACTTATGATGTATTCACACAGTTTTTTGTAACATTGAAGCAATATCCTAAGTTGAACATTTTCAACGTATTTGTCATAGTCTTTACACCAACTACAAGACGGTTTCAGTTTTTTCTTCCCTCCTTTACAAGACTTACACACATGATGTTGACAGTTGGTTTCAGTAGGAGTGTATGGTTCAATCAACAGATTTCCACAAACTGTACAAGACAGGGACTGTCTCAGATAAGGAATTAACCTATATAAATCAGCCCAAGAAGTAGGGTCATCAGCATTTGCTTGCATTACTAATCTGCAAGTTGAAACATATAAGTTTGTGGCATTCATTATCTTTGGATTAAACTTTGAATGTTTTACGGGGAGGAGAACCAAGTTTTAAAAGCTGTGTTAAAACCTAGCCTAGGCCTACTGGCAGTTCACTTGTCAGAACAATAATGTGTAAAGTATCTGGGGCAAAAATAATCTGTGTGAGATACAATCTGACTATAATTCAATGATTATTCTAAAAATGAAGCGGGTCAATAGGCTACCTTCAACGTTTACCAGAATTATATCTAAATCTTTTAACTTGTCTGCAAGAAGAGAGGTTAAAATCAACCAACTGTCACCACTGTCCAAAATCAAATAACAACTATTCCTATCTATGGTCTGGTTTCACCTAGTATGGTTACCTTTAAACCATACTAATTCACTTCGAAAAATAACATAAATTGTGTTTTAAACTTAATTTTAAGAATCAAGAATACAAGACGCCGTGACGTATATACACAAATAACAAACATGAACTGAACCAACATCCAATGATCCAATCCACTCCACCCCCACCGCACTCACTCAGATTCAGTTCAGATTGACAGACTCACTCCCACTCAGTTCAGTACTCATATCAGCCAGACAGCTCAAGCACGGCCACCAACTCTAGGCCGCGGCCTGGTAGAATTGAAGACGTTGTTAGTGGTGTTGTCCAGTGAGACGTCTCATAAGATAACATGGCAGACAGGTGAACCAGCTCATTAATTCGCGTATTAATCATTTAAATTGAAATCTACGAACATCAATTTATTAAATGATTGAAAATAAAATATATAGAAATGAAAACCAAAACAATGTTTATAGATTTTAAAATAGACTTTTGTACATGAAATTGGAGTCAATATTTTTATAGCCCAGTAAACACGCTTTTGTACTATTAAAAAATGCACAAACTACCATTAGCCGCCTCCAAACAAAACAGCTGTTACAACCCTACTTGCGATGTTGCCACTTCGAAGGCCACGGCCTGGAGTTAAAGGTGGCCGTGGCTCAAGCATGACCACCTTGGCTCAAGCCACGGCCGCCTTTAACTCCAGGCACGGCCACCTTTAATTCCAGGCCGCGGCCTGGTAGAATTGGCTACGTGCAAGTGGTGTTGTTTACTGTCAGACGTCCCATAAGATAACTTGGCAGACAGGTGACACCCGCTCATTAAAGAGCAATTTATGCAATAATGGATAATTTTTCACAAGGTCATGACGAACATTTTAACTTATATAGGCTTACCTCCGTCAGTAGTCCAAAATTGGACACAATTTGATACAATTTTGGACTACTGACGGAGGTAAGCCTATATAAGTCATTATTCGTAGTCCAGGGGCTATCAGAATGAATAATATGAACATTTTAAGTGGTTGGTTTATGGGGGTGTGACTTGCAGTTTTCTCAAAAGTTCATGGACGCACTTTGGGATTTATATAGGTATACTATAGTATTAAAGCCGATTGGACGGATCACGAAATTGATGGTGTATAAACCTATTCCATGACATTCTACACGTATGTAGCAAGTTTCGTGGCAATCGGTTCAGCGGTGTCTGAGTTTATCACTGCCAAACAAACAAATATATATCTCTAATATATAAAATTCTCGTGTCACAGTGTTTGTCTGCAAACTCCTCCGGAACGACTTCACCGATCGTTATGAAATTTGGTGTGTAAATTCTGTAGGTATGCGAATCGGACGTAAACTATTTCCCGTTTCGAAATTCTTAAAAGGGCTCCGCCCCAGTGGCTCTGGAGTTTCCCATGTTAACCTTATGAGAAATGGAATTAATGAATCTTAACAGCTGTTTCAATTAAACAAGTTGGTTCTGTTCTATGATGTTCAATAGCATTAAAGTTACAAGGATTACCAACAGGGTGCAGCACTATTATTTCTTTTACATTTATGACAACAGCTAATTTGCAACCAAAAGGTGAGTGAGCGTAGCGAACGAACTTCAACCTGGAGGTGAGTTAGCGTAGCGAACGAGCTAACCTGAAGGCAAGTGAGCGCAGCGAACGAGCTCCAACCTAAAGGTGAGTGAGCGTAGCGAACGAGCTCCAACCCAAAGGTGAGTGAGCGTAGCGAACGAACTTCAACCAGGACGTGATTGAGCGATGCGAACGAGATCATCTTGAAAATTAAACGTAACGGTACTTTCTTTCCATCGGTCTGTCTTAGGGGAAACCTATAACTTAGGCGATACGAAGTTCGCCGGGTCAGCTAGTATATGTATACAAACATCCTCTTTTAGCGAATTTCCCATATAGGGAATAAGCTATTACCGTAGTACTCATGGTAAGACCTGGACCCGGGACCGATTTTTTTTCGTTTTGAGGTCCCTAGAGGCCAAAAATAGCATCCGTTCAAATTCATATATATTTATATATATATATATGTGTCCGTTAGCGCGATAACTCGAGCAAAAATGATCCGATTTTGATGAAATTTGGTACAAACGTGTAAACCTACGTTTATTCGAACGAGTTCGCGATCCAGCATGATCGGACCATGGGAACGGGGGTTTATGGGGGCTTTTATGGGGTAAAAATGGGTTTTTCCCATTTTTGACCCAAAAAACTTAAATTTTTGCAATTTTTTTCCAAACTATTTTGTAGAGCTTAAAAAAACAAATAATTTAGTATATTGAAGCGTTATAATGCGCCTAATGGTTACGGAGAAAATTCAAAAAAATTGTAAATTTAAAATTCCCATGTTATTCTTATGGAGGATAAGTAAACTGTTGTAGTTTGCTTATTTATTAACATATTTTGCCCAAATTTGGAAAATGTTTTTATTTCTTACTAACTATTAACATTTTACATAAAAAACACTTCAACCCTCCCTGTTGCAGCAAACCTAAGTATGTGTTAAACTGATTCAATTTAAATAGGGAATAAATGTGATATTTTTAAGGAGACATTTTAGTGTAAATCCAATCAGGCAAATGGAAATTCGCTCAGTCTGCAGGTTTGCTGCGGCGGGGGTATTATACTTATAGATAAGATAGATAGATGACTGTTTACTAAAGGGATTGTAAAGAAAAATAACACATGTTTAGTTTTTAAGTTTATTGGTTTATTAAATATAACATTTTGTATTACCAAACAAATTATATTATAACCTCTTAACTCATTCCACTATTATGGACAAATTACTATAATATATAGGACTTGGAGTTGACATAAGTTAAACAATTGCAATTCATAAACTCTACTAACAGTAAACATTTACATCTTTTAAATTCAATATTTAAATATATAAATTATTATACATAAAACAACATGAAAATACTGCTATAAATATTATAAAAAATACTTTAAACTTCAACATTTTTAAAATAAATGATTTCATAAGTAGCTAAGCAGTGTGTGCCTTATTTGTATAAAATATAAACAAAGAAAATAGTATATTTCATCACTAGAGCCTAAAGTGACTCTTTTTGTCCGTGTGGTGAACTATATTTTTCACCATATTGCAGCATTAATTAACAAACTAAGCTAGAAAACGAAATAATGTTTATGTCAAGATAACCTCTCAAAACGACTTCCAGCTTGTTTTCAATTCTGCTAAAGCAATTAAGCAGCTGTCAGCTTAAGTGATTCAATCATTTAGTCTATTGCAATTGAGTTACAGTACATTATACCTTCGATATTTACAACTGTTTACAACAGATGATTTTTACTCCCTAGAGAGTAAAAATGCTACTTTAGACCCATAGCACATGCATTTAAAACAACCTGTATTTGCTGCAATATGACAAAAAATATTATTCATTCTTGGTTTAGCATGTGATAATTTAAAAGTCTACTATTCCAAAACCTAGTGTGGAAGCAGGACAAAAAAGCTTTTGTTTAAAATGTTACAAAAATATATTGTTAGTTTTCAAACATTACCGTACTACAAAAGTAGGTCAAACTATCGAGATCCTAGATTTGGATAACTACAAAGCTACCTAAGTTAAAATGTTATTTCAATTTCTCATTAGCACCACATTATACCTTACCTCCTAACTAACTCATCCCTCATCTATCATAGACTTGTCAAAACTTTTATGGTAATTTTAAACATTAAATCTTTTTGATGATTTAATACTGGACCCAGCTGCCATAGATCGTTAACATTTTAATAAACAGCTGTGGCTAAATTAGCAACTAACCGAGAGTCAGTAACAAAGCTATCACTCATTCACCTATCACTCATATTTACAACATTTCTGCCAAACCTTACACATCCAGGTATGTATCAGCGTCATTGATAATCTAGTCATATCTGACCTAAAATTAAAAATAAATTATGTATTTTGTTCTTTATTATTATAGTAGAATCCCTATATTGACCTCAGGATAACCACCTCTGCCCAACATCTCTGATCCCGAAATTGGACTCACAAAAATACAAGATCTCAGCATAACAGACTTCCACAAATATATGTTCTGAGGATAATGGACTCCCCCAAATATTTTATCTGAGGATAATGGACAACCTCACCCCAAATATCTGATCTCAGAATAAAAGACTCAACCAAATATCTGATCTCTGTATATTGGACAACCCCAGCATCCCCATCCCAAATATCTGATCTCTGGATAACGGACTCTCCCAAATATTTGATCTCTGGATAACATACTTCCCCAAATATCCAATCCTAGGATAATGGACATTTCCTAATATCTGATCTCACAATAACCAATTCCTCCAAATATATATATAAACTCAGGATATTCATTACAGTACTCTCAGAATATCCATGGTGATGGTTTTTGGCGTCAACCGTGTCGGCAGTTGAATTTCACTGCCAGACGTTTCGCTCTTACTATGAAGTGGCATCATAGGCTGAGACTAAGTCAGAGAAGTTCGTCCAGGTAGGGTATACATATAGCTGGGGTGAGGTCATCGGCGCACGCGTGAAATGCAGGAATGCATACTTCCCTTGCTTGACGCCGCAAACCATTACTACGGATTTCAATGAAACCAGCTGCGAAAGCCCACACATGAAGAATACTCTCAGAATAACCTACTTCTCGTAATATCCAACCTGAGTTTCGCTCGCCTTCTGTCAACAAGTCTTGAAGGGCTCAGCAAGAGTAAATTGCATTCAGATATTTTATTTTAAATACCATAAATACATAGTGTATTTTTCCTACACAAGTTTTACAAGCCAAGAAATTGTATATACCATTAATTTAAAAACTGGTCAATACATTTCTGACCTTTATGCTGCTTAGTTATTGGGAACGCTTGTTTTTAACTTCTTATATTACTTTGCTGTAATTTGTGGGTTCCGAAATCAAGGTCCTAGGAATATAAGAGTTCTGCTGCAAGGTTACAGTCAAACCACCCTGACAAGGCACTTTGCAAATGGGGTGAAAACGCTGCACTATCGTTTAAGTAAACGTTGGGTCTTCCTTAATTTCAACCACACAAGGAAAGTTAATGTTAGCAGGGGTTTGAGGAGGGTAAGTCTCAGATAGCTGGTGGCTTGGTGACAAAACAAATGTTTTTGAAAGGTCATTATTTTCTGCCATAATAGACCCTTTCCTCTATATCCCCGCATTGGGCAAAATTTCCGTCTTAGGGTTATAATAAATTAGGGTTATAAATTGATGTCTTGTTTGACTGTATAATATTTTACATACCAGTAGAGAACAACATGTTTTACTGCACACAATACAGTTGTTACCTTCTGAAGAAATTGTTAACTATATTTTACTTAGCCCTTTGTTTTTTTACTGTCATTCTTTTTTACGCACTTATAAAACTTTTTTTGAGCAAACCTTTTCTTGTGACATGTCATTTTACTTAATATTAAAGGGATCACAGACTGTTACTGATGCTACATCTCAACTTATTTGATGCTTAAATCGAATGAAACACAAAAAAGCTATGATTGTAACCCTTTTAAAGAGAGTGTTATTTAAGATAATTATTAATACTCAAGAAATATGTTTCTTTTTAAGAAATATGTTTGACCCTATTTGTTCTAAGTTTTGTTGCTGAAATTTTAAAATAAAAGTCTTTGGTATAAGAAATTTGTCTAACTTAACATAAAAAATAAATAGTTAACAGTGTTATAAAATTATGCAAGTAATGATAGAAAAAAAAACATTAACAAAAATATTTCATATTTCATTGATTATAACAAATACAGGGTGACACAAAGGAACCGGACGTTTTTTAAACAGCTGTTCCATTGTTGTCGCACGTGGTAGTAAGATTGAAGTTATGTCATTACCTTCAGTGAGGCTTGCCATTTTTGTTGAAATGGCTCAGTGGACCCTAGACCATCGCGTTTTCGCATACAATACTTTGGTCCGAAATGGTGAATCCGTCGTCAAATCCAGCGGGAATTTAGTCGACATTTTGATATTGAACGCCATTGAACGGTTCCAGGCCGGAACACGCTATTAAGATGGGTTTCAGGGTTCCGAACAACTGGGAATATAACAAGAAAGAAACCACCCTTAGACCTTCGAGAACACCCGAAAACATCGCCAGAGTGAGAGCAGCATTGAATTAATGTTTCCTAACAAGGTGATCTCGCTTTGGTGACATACTGTGGCCGCCATGATCACGTGGCTTGTCCACTCGTGATTATATCCTTTGGGTGTTTCTTAAGGAGCGTGTTCATGGTCACAAACCACGCACTCTAGAGGATTTGAAGTTTGCAATCACAGAGGATATCAATGGCATTGAACAAGACCTCCTGACCCGAGTTTAAGATGATTTTCAGACCAGAATGAACATTTGTAGATAAGTACATGGCCACCATATTCATGACGTCATTTTCAAAAAATGACTGTTTTGTAACAAATGGCAAATGTTTACCTCACTATGTACAGTATTAAAACTATTTTATTCCTTTTAACTACTGTTTACTACTTATTTAAAAAACGTCCGGTTCCTTTGTGTCACCCTGTATAACAATCTTGTTTTAACCTTGGTTAAATCTGGTTTAAATCTTAAATCTTGTCGATCCAAAAAAGTAATTTAATTTGTAATCCTATGTTTAAACATTTAAAAAACTTCTTCCACTGCAAATACACAGTCTTAGACATTAGACAGGTTAAGTTGAATGAATACACTGCAAAGAACATCACAATTGAAACAATAATGTAAATTTGTTATTTAATTACTAGGATCAATCAGAATCATATTATTTTTACTAAAGACATTCAACTGACCAAACAAATCTGAACTACTGTAAAACTAGTAAATGAGAACCAATAAATAACAACAATAGAAAATATAAATATTAACAAGATAACAAACTAAACTATAGAAGCAGTTATTTTTAAACACAATTAATATTTCATTTATTTGTTCATCCTAAAAAAACCCTAATAAATGCCTTTGAGTATATGATTTTATTTTAAAATCCTATAAATTAATTGGTTTTTTAGTTATATAGGCTTACATAGAAAGGACTGGGGAATCTTGATAAACCTACCTAAAATACGTAGACTTCCAAATTTACACTAAAAACAACGGAAATTTATTTCTAACTTTTTTATTTTATCACGACTTGTTTTATTTTTACTCTTGATAAAGATCCTTTTAAACAAAATTAATTAAATCGTGTTTTGTGTGCTTTATTTATTTATCAAATCAAAATGATAAACCAGAGTTATCTTATGTTGTAAATACTACAACTAAAAAGATATAGACAAAACGTGAGAAAGATATATGAGAATTAGCTAGTAAACTTGTGGTTAGAAAACTCCTGTTTCTTAAAATATATCACAATTTACTAAGATTAGAAACAATTGAAAAAGCTATTGTTAACAAACACTGAGCTATTGCTAAAGCAAAAATGTTGGGCAATTTGAAGTTCACAAAAACAAATTTGTTGGAGCGAGTATTAAATATTTGGTTGGGGTGTAAGCAGTTGGTATAAATAGTTTTTGGATCATTCAGAAAAAGTTAAAAACAAACTCTTCTGAGAAATCTTTGGGACAGTTTTAATGGGAAATACTACTGGAACAACCAAACATAGGCCTAACTAATGATTCTGTCTAACAGTATTATGAATGGTTATACTTATAATCTCTTTTATTATTCATTCTGATAGCCCCTGGACTACGAATAATGGCTTACCTCCATCAGTAGTCCAAAATTGTGTCTTATTTCAACTAATGTTTTTCAAAGCTTAATGTTTCGTTGCACTGCAACATCGTCGGAGCTTTATGTCAAAAACATCAAATAATTTAAACATAGAATAAGGTAGACTTAGTCTACTTACAACCGCTGCCGTGCCGTGTCATGATAGCGCTATCGTGTTATTTCATGTTTAAATGTTCCGTGTTTTATTCTATATTATTTGATGTTTTTGACATAAAGCTCTGACAATGTTGCAGTGCAACAAAACATGTAAGCTTTGAACAACATTAGTTGAAATAAGACGCAATTTTGGACTACTAACGGAGGTAAGCGTATATAAGTCAAAAATCTCTTGTTGATTGATGGTTTCACCTCTAAACCTTAGGGATATTGTATAACATTTGAAATGCTATCAATACATAGAAAAAATTAAGAACATCTTGAAAGTCTTCTGCATGTATGATAGTAAAAGGAAAATTCTGCAATAATAATCACTTAATTAAAGGCTACCATTTTAACTGAAAGTATTAAATACTTATTGAGCAATCTTGGTATCCCTTTCCTCTGTGTGCTTCATAAATAAATGTGATTAAAAACCAAACATCTTGTCATGTTTTACTCTAATTATAAGAAAACACAAAATTTGAAAATGACTAGCATGAAGGTAATAAAACTAAATTTGTGCAACAAATCATACAATCTAATAATACAACACCCCTCACAACCGTACAAATTTTAGCTAAAGCTTGTAAACAATGAATATAAACTATTAAATAAACTCTGTCACTCTGTATACATCGTATTTACAAATTCATTTGGGAATTCTAAGGTAGAAAAGGATGTCTTAAAATACGAGAGAATGTTTAAGTTCTAGTAGGCAAATTTCCTAGGCTGATAAAGTTGTTTAAGAGATAAGAGATTTTTTAACGAAAATAAAGTCGTTAGCTAACCAATCAGGATGAGTGACTTCTGCAGCAACTACATAACCTTTGGATGTCATAAAGTCTCGGATGGAATCCTTACCGTCATTTACATGGACAAACTCCACTGACAGTGTCTAAAAAAAGAGATTTATGATTAGATAATTTCACTACCCGTGAACACAGGCAGTCTATTACTAAATACTTTTGGTTTGGTTACAATTACATTGTTGTGTGACAACAATATTTCCATTCATTAACGTATCCTCATCTCCATTCATACTTGGCTTAAAATACCTACTTTGTATGGTCGCCATTTCAATGAAAAGTATTTAAAAAAAAGTATCCAAGACTGCCTATGTAGCTCACGCCAACGGCCTAAAGTTAGACATTAGTCGACATCATTTTGTATATTGGCAAAATAAAAATTTTCAGTATGTCATGATTCAACAAAAAACCTCTTACTGTTAGAGGAATTCCGAGCGATTTTCATCCTTACTCTTACTGGAAAACCTTTTAAACACAGTCCACATAAATATTCTCACATGTCACTAGTGCTTTGCCCAAAACATTATTCTGTTTTTAAATTAAGATAAGTTTGATTTCACACCAGTTTCATTAACACTATAAACTGTAGGTCCCTTAGTTGCCATTGGCAGTATGGACTAATAATTAACAACTGTGTCGGCCTTAGTCACTAACAAGACTACAAGATCGTGCCACTCATCCTACAATCATCTCCATTCATACTTGGCTTAAAATACCTACATTCGTATGGTCGCCTTTTCAAAGTAAAGTAGGCCTATTAAAGTATTGTAACACTCACATTGTTGCATAATATCATTAATATCATTGTATGTTATTCTGTGTTACTCCTACTGGCTACTGAACCATTTGATTATTGGTTAACAAAGCTGGCACTCATTTATTCAACACTCATCTTCGCATTAAAATACATACCCTGGTGTTGAGGTGTCGTATACATCTAATCTCATCCAATATATTTCCGTTTAGGTTAGATAAGTTTATACCTAACAGGCATTACCATGAATTGTTCACTACCCAAAAAGGCCTAGTATAGTAATGAGTTCAATACCAGTATACTAACTACATCAATTAGTTTAAGTTTCCCCGCATTTTACTTGGGTTTTACATTCGTCATTTCAACCATTCATAACTCAAATTGACCTGCAGGCTCATATTACTGCAGCATACTTACATCAATGTCTACTTTGTCCCATGGAATCGTCTTGAGGACGTTCAGCTCATCCCCTTCCACATCCAGGCTGAAGTAGTCTACATGGGTGATGTTCATTGCTAGAAGGTAGGAGTAGAGTGGGAAACATTGAACATCAACATATCCTGGCCTCTCCTCACCTATGTTCTTGTCTGATATCCTTCCCACATTGAAGTCCTGCTTGAACGAAACCTGAAAACACAACTGGATGAGTGTACTATAAAAAACCGGCGATGCTGTGATGACTCGTGTAAAATGCAAGAGAGTCGGTGGTTCAGTTTACTTTTTAATGTTTCCTCTTTCCTCATTTAAATATTAATTCCTTTGTGCTTAAAAACACACATTAATTGTTATTTTGTCAAGGTATATCGGAAAGAAACAAAAACATCCTTTGAAATTGAACCGAAAATGTGATAAAATTGAAAAATCCTTTAACTAAATATGTCTTTGACGTACAGCTTAACTTTTTGGTTTTTAATACCCCGGTACTAATCCCATCTATATGCACTGATGTGGCTGGTTTTTTACTGAAAAAAGCTGCTAACAGTTGTGCTAAGTCAAAATTCTTTTTTCTTTCTAAGTTTTAGAAAATTTGATAGTTGCGAATGTGAAATAAAAGATGTCATAGTGTACAGTATGTATTCCTACTGGTTTGGCTTGGCTAAAACTCAGTGTATATGACAGTTATCAGTAACTGATGGTAGCCTACTCTCTCGGACAGCATTACTCTCCATTCAACTACAGCAGAACTTACGTAATCCTGTCACAGCTCAACAAATTTTGTCAAATGAGGACATGTTTTGGTGTTAAAACACCATCTCAGCTTCAGGTAAGTGTAGAGTTGATCAGTTGTAAACATCGTCAGAAGGTAAACACAGTACACAGAGTGTGGCCCTTGCTAACTGTGCATTCTGTCAACTTTAGTTAGAACAAACCTGTTTTTAAATGTTTCAATGTTTCTTTTAGTACTTTTTCATAATTTTGTTTGTGCTTATCTTGTGTAATTTTGTTTGTGTTGTGTTAATAACTGTGTTTATCTTTTGACGATGTTTACAACTGATCAACTGTACAAGTACTTGAAACTGACGTTGGTGTTTTAATACCAAAACATGTCCCAATTTAACAAAATCTGTTGAACTGTGATAGGATTATGTAAAGGCCTACCGCACACGAGAGACTTTTTGTCAGGCAACTATTTTGTCATAGTCGGGAGTCAAAGTCGGCCCCATAGTGGTAAATCTGAACGTTCACACGGACCGACCACAGCCAGAACCCGCACACTGGCGACTAAAAAGTCTGTCAGACTGCGTCAAGTGCAAGTGTTTTACAAGACGAAAAAGTTGATAAAGTGGCACGGCCATCCAGATCTTTATAAAAAGTCTTTGTAGGAGTATTCAGACATAATATTAATAACTATCAACACTCATTCGTGAGTACATGAACAATTTGTTCTGATATTTCCTCAAATCTGAGTATAAAAGTTAAATTGGCCTTTCAAGGTTCTCAGACTATGAATTGGATGGACCCAGTATTTTCTTTTCTTTTACGTTTTCATGCACAAAATCTGATAAGAAACACACAATAATATGAGAGCGGTTTCTGTCATATACATCTTTTTAACACTCGAAAGACGACTAAACAGTCGTGGCCGCACCTACAGTAGACTCCCTCTTATCCGGACTCCTCGGGACCGAGGCCAGTCCAGGTAACAGTTTTTCCGGTTAAACCGACGTCCTCAAAAACTCGTTAAAAAAACGTATTTGACTTAATTTTTAGGAGAGCATTGTATTTAGACACGTGATCACATGGTCTCAAATCTTTCTCACGAGTACAGTAACTTCAGCACCCCCCACTTCCTGCCGATCTAGCCCGGTTAAACCGATGTGCTGATAAAAATTGTACGGTTAAAGAGATGTTATTCCCGCTGAGTGTAGTCTGGTTAAAAGGTGTCCGGATAAGAGGGCGTCTACTGTACAGTCAACGACCAAACAGTCTTGACGACTTTTTCGATTGTCCACCCAACTCCAGTCAGACAGTCGGCCAAGAAAAAGTCTGTCGTGTGCGGTAGGCCTAATTTAGTGTTACATTATCTCCAACAGCTCAGGGGCTACAAACGTGAATTTTAATGAAACTCCAATTATCGTAATACCAATCAACTGGATTCTCAGTTATTTGGATCATCTTAAGGAGAGCTTTTTAGAGTTGCAGTAATCCATTCCATAACTTCTTCGTCTGCCAATTGTGTCTATTGTATGAAAAGTCTATCGTGGCATGATATTGATTGGCTTGTGTAGAGCCAGCTGCCTAGTACCACTGTATTATAACTAGTATTTTATCCCGTGAGTCAGTGATTGACATTCACTGAGTTCTACTGTAAGTTACTTTAGTCCAAATGTTTTTCCTTAATGGTACAACTTTAACTTGGGATTGTGATGTGTACTCTCTAATGTTATTTTAATGACATAGCCTACCACTTGCGGATGTGTTGTCTTGCTGAGGCAGGTCGGAGACAGCCAGGCTCGGCGGTTCTTATGAAGCATCTGGCTGAAGTTGAGCGGATCTGCCTCTATCAGCAGTCCTGTCCAGTCTAGGAACCTCTCCAGGTAGAGAGTGTTGGAGCGAGTCTCACCATCCAGCGCACCACACTCTATGAAGAACCCGTTCCTCTGATGAGCAAACAATTGTAATTATTAGTTTATGTGGAGTATCTGGCTAAAGTTGAGGGGATCTGCCTCTATCAGCAGTCCTGTCCAGTCTAGGAACCTCTCCAGGTAGAGAGTGTTGGAGCGAGTCTCACCATCCAGCGCACCACACTCTATGAAGAACCCGTTCCTCTGATGAACAAACAATTGTACCAGTAGTTAGCATTCAGTCTTAAACTCTAGAAATGCTTGATAGTATTAGAGGTGTAATAAAGTACAGTAGCTGATTAATCAACAAAACAAGAAATAGAAGTGGTTCAAATTTAATTAGTGTTAATTTAATTGATTTTAGCAATCTTTATGATTGGTTAGTAATTGAATTAGCCAAGATAGGTCAGGTTAGGGTTCTTTAAATATTTGTACATTAGTTACTCTATGAATGAAAGTTGGTCTCAGCTGCCCCGTATCATTGGGCTTTTAATTAATGGTCTTGGCTAAAGAATTAGATCTTTGCTACAAATGACCAATGGTAGGGATTTTTAATTAATAAGAGTGTGACCAGTGCTGAACTTGTATCCTCCGTCTTTTACAAAACTGATACCTGGGACTATTTATATAAAGCCCAATGATCAAGAAAAGCTGGGTTCATTTTGTAAAATAATGTAAATGGACTTTTTCATGATTGAATCAGCTACCTTGATGATCCACTCAGCTGCCCAAAGATTAATTCAACTAATTCAAAACCACCCTATCTAGTGTGGTTAACCTGTTCGGGGTCATAAATTCTCAGCTTAAACTGGAAAACAGTCAAACCAACAAACAATTATAGTTCAACAGTACTAGGTGCTTAAGTATATAGGCATTAATGATCAGATAAAAAGTTATCTAGTCATTAAAGTTGTTAAGATAAATGATTTCAGTGTTTATGATACATGTAAAATTGATAAGACAAGCCCACAGTACACATACTATTATATTATTGAGTATTTTGAGGATCATTGGTATAGCTATCAAATCTTTAAATGCGACAGTTAAAGAATATTGTGAAGAAACAATTAATGCCAAATAATTAGTCTCAGTTCAAAGGCAACTAATACAACCTTGCACGGGTGCACTGTTCTGCTCTGATTCCTCTATGTATAAGTGGTATCAGGCTGTCAAACAACTGTGAAACATGAAACTAATGTTGTTTTTACTATAGCGAAACATTAATCTTTTTATAGTTATTTAAGTAAAGAAACCTGCACTGGTGCACTTTTGATATCACATTTATAAATATATTTGAAAACAAGGCAACATTTAATTTTCATCTCTGTGACAACTACTTGGTTTTTTTTACAGGATTTTAAGTCCTATGAGAAGTATAGAAATGTGAGTGTTTGGAGACTGTTTGGCTGCCATAATATGTCCTGTTAAAAGTAGGCCTAGACACAACAAAGTAGTTCTATTGTTTATGTTAAATCGAGTGCACGATTTGTATAAAAATTAGGTGACAGAACTATAACCTCTATTTAATGTGATTAGTACCTATTTATGCCAATATTTCTATCTTTCTGAAGAGAGGTACCGGAACTGTATTACGCCGCGTTCCCCTGCAAATCGAGCACTGGTTATATATATGTTAGACTAAAAAAAAACCTTGTTCCTCAAAGCTGGGTGGATGAGGTCAAAATGGGTTTTAATAACATTTTGTAAGAAGAAATTGTTTTCTGCAACATATACATAATTTTCAATTACGACCGATAATCCATGTAGCCTAGTTGGCTGGTTTTCAAGTTTAAAGAAGGACTTTTAGCTCTATATGTGAGAGTGCCTTGTAAACCGTCTCGGATATGCACTTACCAATGTAGGCCTAATTTTAATACTAGTTTTAACAGTTGCTACAAAAGGTGTGTGACGGTCTGGTATTTAGAAAAAACTTAAATTATGAATATCTATTAGGTAGCCTACTAGCCCAAAACCAGGTTTTGGTAAATTTCAGCATAAGCTACCCAACACAAGTAGACTTCCCATCTCATTGTAAATTAATAAGCTCGTTTTTGGTGTCTAGTACCATGTCTGTCTTGCTAGTGTTGCAAAATATTGTTTCTATTATTTCTTCCAGGGTGTCCACAAAAAATTTGTCATTAATTTCCATGACTTTCCATGACTATCCATGACCATTTACCATTGATTTCCATGACTCACGAACTTTACACGCAAATTATAATATAACATACACACACAAATATAACTGCCTGGACATGTTATTTTGCAGTAAATACTGAAATATGTAATAACAGATAACAATGGAGTACAATAGGTACAACAATGAACTAAAACAAACGGAAAACTCATAAAATAATACAACTGTAATAAATTGAATTGTCGAACATTTGTGAAAAATCGTGAAAAATGGATCTTTCATCGACAACAGTCCGGGTTACAGCTGACTAGAGTATTGAATGCTCCCCTGAAATCCATCCATAATTGGAAATTTCCATGACTTTCCATGACTTCTTGCCTATTTCCCTGACTTTCAATGACCAACATTTTTTCCATGACTTTCCATGACTATCCCTGACTTTCCAGAATGTGGACACACTGTAAAGTTAATTTAATGATTTTTGCTTTACTGAATGGTTATATATAACTGGAGGATGAGTTAGTTATTGTTTACGATTATATAGTTTTTTTTTGTTTTTTTTTTGTTAACAGGGTTTTAAATTAATAAATAGGCCTAACAAGAAACTAATTGTAAAAAAAAAACACAACCTCTACACTGCACCAGACAGAACTAACGATAAAATTGCCTTTGGCTTTTCCATAAGGATGGAAAATCTACTAAGGGAGTATGTTTAATCTATGATTTTAGCTAGTTACAAATTAAATGTTATGTTTTTATTTTATAAGTTTACTTTTTCTACCCACATGTTTTATTTTGACAAATGCTTGTGATTAGTGGTTGATAGTTGAGGGTGTCATGGTTAGTAAAATCAATGGGAGTTTGTAAACCAAAGAGCATGACTTATTTTATTAGTTAAGAATTTAAATTGTTCAATTTTGAGCATTGGTGCCCTCAACCTCAAAATTATCCAAACGACAAAGAGTTTGAATCAATTGGAAATGCATGGTAAAAATATATGATATTTAACCAAGGAAGAAAAATTGGTTGGAGACAAGATGCCTGCTACGGTTTTATCACCTCTGCCAAGCTAGGAGATCTTGATCAATGGCTCGCTTACAGGTTTAACTGAGTACAATCGTTTTCGACTGAATTGAATGATTATATGGACCTAGAGAATCTTCAGACGACAGAAGTCCCTGTCTGTAAAAGCGGAAGATATGATTTCAACCCTCTATTGATACATCCCGAGAATGTAAAAGAAATGTTAAATTTGCTGGGAAATCGTTTCGGAAGACAAGAAATAATTAAAAATAACTTAATTGCAAGTAGGCCTAAGAGAAGTCGCCCACCTACAAAAGACTACAAGCCTGACACTGATGACTTTCAGCAACATGATGCGAAATTCATTGTGGCTTCGTAGGAATTTTGTGGCTGTGAAGTTCTTGAAGCAGTATCACTATCGGTTCACCCACAACTGATAGAAGAATTAACGGTATCCACCAACATGAAACTTAACTGGGGAAAATTTGCTACAATGCTTGATGTTTTTAAAAAAATTATGCCATTTCTGCAACATCGGTGTTGATCTTTGCGCTGATATCTTGCACAATTTCATGTTTGTTTGCTCTACTCCTGAAGTCAATGTGACATTCCAAAAAATTTTCTTTATAAACAACGATCAAGTTAATTTCTCTGTTTCTAAATCAGTCCATTTTTTACTGTCATCAGTCACTGCATTAGTTTGAGTTGCAGGAACAGAAGATCTTTCTTCAATAGGAACATTATTGTAAGCCATGGTTTACACGTGGAATAGCAAAATGCACTAGAGCCCCGTAAAAACACTGGTAAAAATACTCTGTTTACGACGCTAAATAACACGAGCAATTTTCACTTTTCGACAGAAATCTCGCACAATCCTCCTCGTGTTTAAACATAGCTAAAATTTTTATGATTAACAATTTAAGAAACTAGGCTATCCATTTTTTACCCTATGCGTTAGCCTAATCATATCGATAAGTTTTGGTTATTGTTGTTTTGTGCATAGAATATATTTAGATTTTGATTGAATACCTAACTTATTTATACGTCACTAACATTTAATAAACACCAATAAAAATGTAAAGAGATCATAACTTGATTCAATATTTAACTTAAATCGAGAAAAAAATTTAAGAATTAATTTATCGAACCGAGTATAATCCCTGTATATCGATATTTAAACCGATAAAAAGTTACTGGTTCTCTGCAGGCTGAAGGCTACCCACCAATGATAGTGTAAGTTAATGCTGAGTTAACCAGAAGTAGGCCTAGGCCTTTCCTAAAAATTGTACGTTCAAGAAAACTGAAGACTAGATGATCGGCGGCTCAGTCGATAGGGCAACAGACAGCGAAACAATGGCAGCAATTTAATGGTTACCTAACTTACACGCCACTAAATTTTAACAATAGGCAGTAGTAGGTAATCTTAGTAACTCTTTGCTGTAGGCCTATACGTTCCATTCAAAGGCCCTAGGCATATAAAGATTGACATTTTCTTAACCTAGATAGCATATTGCTCGATGTAAGGTTACGGTAGGCCTACCTAACTTACCTTATTGTTTAGAACTTTTCTAATCTGTTCAGCTTGTCCCATTGAAGTATCTTTAAGCTTGGGATTTTCTAGGTTGTACTTAAATTTAGGTCCTACTTCAGGAGGAGGCACTAAGAAATTGCTTGCTAGCCGCTTTATCACTTTAGTATCATCTGCTGCAAGAATCTCTCCAGTCAGGAATTTCCCTGTTACAGGTAAATAAAAATTAAATGCTCTGTTAAATTAAAATCAAGCTCTATAAGCAGAAAGTTAGTAGGCCAAACTGGATCCATTGGTTATGGAATGGACTTTAATTATACTTTGCTTTAGTTAGCCTAACATAACTTACAGCAGCTAGGCTTTCAAAATTAAAGGTGTGTACAGTAACTTAATAAGCCTAAGTACAATTTAATGAAAATGTAATAAAATTGAGATATCAATTCTCCGATATGTAACCTAACACAGGTTGGTAAATTTAATACGAGACAGAACAAATAAAAAAATCAATGTCTCAGGTTTGTAGCAGTGATCCAGGCATACATGGGTAACCTAAGCTAACGCTAACAAACTAAATGAGGTCAACTTACCAGCCCTGAGAATCTCAGGAAATTTTACTGTAGAATCATATACTTTGATTCCCAAATCATTTTGTCTGTTAAACAAAATCAAGGTGAAAATGACCATACTACTGATGATCAGACAAATCCACAATCTAAAATTTTTAAAGAAAGTCCTTGATCTAGGTTTGATTGCATAGTTCATCATCCTTCTGATATTGGAAATACGTTATAGTTCAACAAAAAATTCCATAATTGTTATTGATGTAATAAATTCAGTTAGTTTATACAAACTAATTTGAAAATAAAGATTATAACTTAGACCACAGACTAAGCAAGCATTACTTAACCTCTAAATTGTATTTGAGAGATATAAAAGCGTGTCTATACAACATTAACTAAACAAACGTGGATAAAATATAATTTATGGTGGCTTAAAGTAAAATAAAATATATATAAGAACTTAAATGTTGCAATTACGACATCCTACAATTTTAACGTGAACAAGGCACGATAAGTTTTCGCTTGACACTTCACTGTACTGTATATTTTTTAAAGCCCGTTCCCGTTTGAAGCAGACAGCTCAGCAGACTTCACTGACCTGAATCAACAACAGCTGTTTCTACAAACAAGTTAGCCACTACTTGCTAACATTTACTACAATATTTTCAGACTATATGGGTTTTCATACATATACAATGAATATAACATACATAAACCATACTCCCTTGGATAAAAGGTTATAAAGCAAAACCCATTTTAAAGTGTTAACGTATGAATGCATTTTTGTATAATGAATGTTTAATCTTCATCTTTAATTAATATGAAAAATATGAAGTTTTCTTGGTGTGTGTCCAAAGTATGGTATTGTTTGAATGCGTTGCCATTGATGTAAACTAAAATCAGTTCGTTTGGTCTAGTGGAGAACTATTGGCTTAAAAATATATTATTAAATACAGTCTCAATCTCAATAATATTTTAATTTAGAAAATAGTGAAAATATGGCACTTAACGTGGTCTTGTATTTTAGTGACCACTTAACAAGAGAAAAACTAAAGAATAATTTAAAATGCCAGTAATTGGTTTATACAATGGTTAGTAAAAGTCCGAAATGAAAAACGGATATATATCTGGCGTAGGGAAATAATGACTTAATGACCCTAAGCCATCCCACCTTCGACTTAAACACCTAAAAACAATGTTTGGGTAGAACGGGCTTGGAGCCGCACTCTGATAGTGGCACGGTCTATTGGTGGCACGTACTTGGGGGTGGCATGTTATAGTGGTAGTACGGTCTGAGGGGAGGCATGGTGAAGTGACGGCGCTGTGGTGTCGGCTCGGTTGTGATGGCGTAAAGAGATATCGCGGTGTGTTGACATGATCTGATGGTGACACGGTCTGGGGAGTGGCACAGTCTGTATTGGGGAAAATAATTGTACATTTGTATAACTATATTTCATTTTAATTATTCCTTCCTATTTGATTCTTTCAAAGGACTGGGTAATATCTTATTTATGGTTTAAAACATCTCTAGTGCTGGCACTGTCCCTGGTGTGGCACGGTCTTGGGGGTGGCAAGGTATAGTGGTGGAACGATCTGAGGGGTGGCATGGTATGGTGGTGGCACGGTTTGGAGTATAGCACTGTCTGGGGTGGGGCACAGTATTGTGGTAGCATGGTATTGGTGGCATGGTATAGTGGTGGCACGGTTTGAGGGGTGGCACGGTAGGGCGGTGGAACGGTCTGGAGTGTAGCACTGTCTGGGGCGTGGCACAGTAGTGTGGTAGCATGGTATTGGTGGCATGGTATAGTGGTGGCACGGTAGGGTGGTGGAACGGTCTGGAGTATAGCACTGTCTGGGGCGTGGCACAGTAGTGTGGTAGCATGGTATGGTGGTGCTACCACGGCCACCCTTAACTCCAGGCCGGGGCCTGGTAGAATTGGCAACGTTGCAAGTAGTGTTGTCTAGCGCAAGACTTCCCATAAGATAACATGACAGACAGGTAATACCAGCTCATTAATTTGCGTATTCATTTTAATTTAAATTTATGAACATAAATTTAATAACAGATTGAAAATATAACATATAGAATTGAAAAACAAAACAAAATTTTAATTGATTATATATTTTTGCACATTTAAAGAGGAGTCGAAATTTGCATAGACCAGTAACCAAGCTTTCGTATTCTTAAAACATACACAACCATTAGCTGCCTCAAAACAAAACAGCTGTTACAACCCTGCTTGCGATGTTGCCACTTCGAAGGCCGCGGCCTGGAGTTAAAGGTGGCCGTGGGTGCTACGGTAAGATAGTGACACGTACTTGGGGTGGCATGGTACATAGTGTTTGCACGGTCTGAGGGGTGGCACTGTAAAGTGATAGCGCGGTATGGTGGTGACATGATCTGATGGTGACACGGTCTGGGGAGTGGCACGGTCTGTATTAGTAAACATAATTGAACAATTGTATAACTATATTTCATTCTTCAATTATTCATTTGATTCCTTCAAAGAACTGAGTAATATCTTATTTATGGTTTAAAACATCTCAATTGTGTCAATTACAGACAAAGTGATTGATGTATAGGCCTACTGACCTAAATCTGTTTTAATGTGAGATGCTATCTCATGTCCAATCTTGGTTATCTGCTAACTTGTATTCGATTATTAGGCGCATAACAACGCTTCAATATACCAAATTATATGTTTTTTGAGCTCTACATATGAATTATATATATGAATTTGAACGGATGATCTTTTTGGCCTCGAGGGACCTTAACACGAAAAAGTAAATCGGTCCCGGGGTCCAGGTCTTACTATGAGTACTACGGTAATATCTAATATTCCCTATATGGGAAATTCGCCAAAGAACTATAATTTGACTTTAAAATGTAACAACATAAAAATATTTTTTTTAGGATAATCTATATTTATAAAAGAGTAAATTAGTATATATATATATATATATTTGAACATTATGAGCTCAGACACTGTTGGACCGATTGCCACGAAAATTGGTACATACGAGTAGAATTTCATGGAATAGGTGTATACACCATCAATTTCGTGATCCATCCAATCGGCTCCGCCCCAGTGGCTCTGGAGTTTCCGCATGTTAACCTTATGAGTACTTATATTTAAATGGAATTAAAAAATCTTAACAGCTGTTTCAACTAGACAATTTGATTGATGTTCAAAAGTATAAAAAAGTTAATAGGTTTACCAACAGGGTGCAGCACTATTATTATTTTTTTTATATATGACAACAGCTAATTTGTACCAAGCAGAAACAAAAAGCTGTGATACATGGAATGGATGGATTTTTTTACAGTTATGTTTATGTAGCCAGTTAATACAAATAGTAAATTAATAAAAGTCTATCCTCATACAGCAGGTCTAGGGAACATAATAATTGTTCTATTTAGCGTTCTCAAGCTGCTTGCTATCATTTTCAAGAAACCAAAATTGTTTCTTTTGCATCCCTGTTGCAAGGCACGGGAATAGCGGCTAGTAGTTAGTAAAAAGTAAACACTGCAAAAAAACCCTCGTACTTAAACATTATCAAGAATCTATGCAAATATTTTATGTAATAGCATTGTAATAGTAGTTTTAGGCAAGTTAAACGCCAGTAAAGAATATAAATTGAAAACAATAAATTAGTTTAATATGGAAACAGAAACCAATTATTACGACTAATAATTCCATTTTACTTGGTTGGCCAAATGCAAAATTAATTAGTAATTAAGTTTGGTAATTAGTTGCTTTTAATCAATATTAAAAACAGAGGAAATTTAAATGGGGAAATAATTTCATTAGTGTTGCTATTATAACGTTCGCACTCAATTAGTTTTTCGAATAATGTATTGTAATGTACATGTGTTAATTAAAACATCGCGAGTTTTTCACCATTAAACTCTATCTGTACTTGTTAAAGGAAAACATGTAATATTTATGGCCATTATTATTTCTCATTGAGATTTAATGGTTTCGTGATACTGCTAGGAGAGACAATGAAGTAAAATTATAAAAAAAAAAACTAAACAAATTATAAACTTGACTTTGAAATAGTTCAAAGTTTTTTGTTTAATGACCACAACACGTAAAAATATACCTGTAGATTAATGAAGTTTTGTTTTTCTCAAGCATATGTTTTTCACAATGCACATATCTATAATCAAATAACAGGTCCATTGCTCTGTGTGAGCACAAATTGAATATAATAATGTTTTTAAATGCAATTTTGTGTTGTAACAATGATATTAAATAACCAATAGTAAAATAAAATATTTGATTGTTGTTATTGAGACATCATAACAATAATTCATTTAACTTAGTTTGATAATAAAAATCAAGCAAAACAATCTATTTCGCTTTATACCGACAAATGATTCAGTTAAACAAAATAAGGGGGCTTATAGGTTTTTATTAAAATTTAAAACTGTGGTAAAAACCATTAAAATGGTATATCCATATTAACCAGGGTAGTTTAAATGTACTTAGCAGTGTGTGCACGATATGTATCTTGCACATTAAACTTCGCTATCTAGGTCTAGTGCTTTCTCATAAGCCAACACTTTACCACCTCACCTGTGCGATAATATGATTACTGTAGTTATCTTCCTCCTCATATCCTGTTCACATCCATCTTAATTCGATAGCTAAATACGAATAATGCATATAATACAGGGTGTCGCGTAAGTAAACAGACAAACTCCTTTATTTAGAATTTAAAATTTGCTATCAAACGAGACCAAGCTCAAAAAGATTGATTAAAAAATAAATGAAATATAATTTTTTTAAATGTTTAATTTAATAATTTTCATGTAATTTGTTTCATTACATGTTTTAGACTGTGTTTTTATTATTGTTTTTAATAAAACAAAAAACTATTGCAAATTATAGATGTATGAAAGCTTTATGTTGTTTACCTTCTAAATAAATTAAACACTATGAGCAATGCTCGGTCTTATAGTACTATATATAATTTATTATATTATATAAGCTTCGTTCCCTACAGCAAACACAAATTTATCACATAAAATATTTATGTAAACTTAAATTTTTAGAAATTTTATAACGTACGTAAACTCAAAACTCACAAAACTTAAGTATTTTAAAAATACATTAAATCAACAAACTATAGAAAAATAATTACATAGCCTATTATGTTGTAAAAATAATATTTTTAACTATTCATACCAAAAGTAATCAACATATCCCCATATATTTCTCTGACTTTACCTGTATTCTGTTGTAAAGAATTAATTTTATTAAAAGTTATTTACTAAACGTTTAAAATTGTATTCTTTTACCAACACAAAAAACTTGTTGTACCTTAACGTGTTAAAATTTTGTTTGGTTCTTCAGTACATGTTATGACGATAATAACACTTGACAAACAAAATAATCGATATATAAATCCCTAAGTACCCATAAACTTTTGAGAAAACTACAAGTCACACCCCCATAAACCATATACTTAAAATGTTCGTCATGGCGAGAAACCTTGCACAAAACTATCCATTATGTCATAAATTGCCCTTTAAGGTCGTGATTCCTTTTTAAAGGGAACTTTCCATATACCTAATGCTAAAAATACCTTAACTGTATGTACTGTCTTTAAATACCATATTTAATTGTAATATTTATCAGCTGACTTTTTGTTTGTTTTTGTTTATGTGATGAGTTTTTGGAAATTGGTATTAAAACAGGGTTGATCTTATCTTGGTTTTATTTTATCTTCAAACACTTACACTGTACTTATTTGTTTCTTATTATTTCAATGTATTACCTTATTAAAATCAGGTGTGATTATTTGTTTGTAGGCTATTACTGTTTTCTGTTTCGTTTATTTCAGTTTAACTTACCCAATCAATAGTTTTATTAATTTATGAAGTGAAACAGGGTGAAGGCCGTGGGTAATAGCTTACTAATTAGGATGTCAATAGTTGACTAACTAAAAACATCTGTTTGACATAAATTGAAATACAGTAGTCAGTAGACGTCAATAAAAGACATTAAGACATTCAAGTTGTCAATATAAACCAACTTATACATTTCACGCAAACATTGTAAGTTAATCATTATATACGTTTTCAACACGATTAGTCTATAACAGTGCATTAGTAATTTTGAATAGGTTCTAATCCAAAGAAAAACATATGCATTAGGTATCGTTCTGCATGGTTTGAGAAAATAACGGCTTAAACTATCTTTCAGAGTTCGTAGTATTTTAAATAAATGTATTTTCTGCAATCTCCTCACAAGTACAAACGTTTCTTTGAGTTGAACCGCATGAATAATTTATGTTATTGCCAAATGCAACCTCACATGCGGGGCTTTCCATAGATTTTTGAAAGAGAATATATATCAACCGTGGTAAAATGCCCAGGTAACTCATGCATTTTAAATTGAAGTTATCGCCTACTCAAAATAATCAATAAAACCATCATGCAGATCTATGAATAATTATGTACACATTTGTGATTAATTTATAGAGAACTAGCAGAGTACCCGTCCTTCGTACGGGGTTGGCATATAAGTATAAAATGCTTATTGCAGTTATGGGTGAGGACATGGTTTAAGAAAGTTTGGTTCTTTTGTTCTACCACTGCCCCTGAACCATTGAAAAAAGTAAAGGTCTCATTGTGTACCACAGCTTTTTGTTGCTAGTTGGTTCAAATTAGCTGTTGTCATAAATGCAAAAACATAATAGTGCTGAACCTCTAGGTAAACCTTAAAACCTGTTAATGCTATAATAGAACTAACTTGCGCAGTTGAAACAGCTGACGAAATTCTTTAATTCCTTTTGGATATATTTTTATCAAATTTGTCAAATTTATTTATTCTATACTAAGCTAATAGTATTTTCCTACAATCACGCTAC